TAAAGCTTACCAGAAGTCAGAAACATCTAAATTACAGCTAATTCTCGACTTACAACCCATTCCTTTAGCAACCAAAGTTACAACGCCATTGAAAAAAAAAGTGACTGAAGACCCGTCCTCGCACTTATGACGGTTACAGCATTCCCACGCTTAAACGTGATCAAAATTAGGTCGCTGGGCAACCGACGTGCATTTACGACGGGCTGCAGCCTCCCGAGTCACATGAAAGCCATTTGCGACTTTCCCAGCCGGCTTCTGACCGGAATGGGGGCGGGGGGGAGCTGGATTCATTTAACAACCGTGTGATTCACTTAACAACTGCAGTCTTTTACTGAACCACAGAGAGAAAAGTTGTAAAATCAGGTGGGAATTCTCTTTAACAACCAACCGCCTTGCTTAACAATGGAAATTCTGCTCTCAATGGCAGTTGTAAGTCGAGGACTACCTGTAGAACTCGCTAGTAAGCCTCTTTCACGGGGTACCTAACTGAAGATAGGAAGGTGAATATGAATCAGGCCCTTTTTAAACCAAAAAGAGGGCAAATCTGCCCCATAAAGATTTTCCTTCTCTATTAATGCTGGTGAACGCTGACCAGTCTGACACCTGGAGGGCGTCCAGTTGAAGAAATCATTGGAATGAATGAATGAATGAATGAATGGTAGGTAGGTAGGTAGGTAGAGATAGATATAGATTGATTGATAGATAGATAAATAGATTGATAGATGATATAGATGGATAGATGATATAGATGGATAGATAGATGATAGATAGATGATATAGATTGATAGACGATATAGATGATAGATAGATAAATGATATAGATGATATAGATAGAGATAGAGATTGATAGATGATAGATAAATAGATAATATAGATAAATGATAGATACATTGGTTGATAGATGATAATAGATGATATAGATCAGGGGTCCCCAACCACCGGTCCGTGGACCGGTACCGGTCCGCGGAACAACTCCTACCGGGCCGCGGCTTGCTGGGCGCCGCCATCTTTTTTTGATGAAAACGTGCTTCCGGTGAGGTCACCGGAAGCACTTTTTCATCAAAAAAAGATGGCGGCGCCCAGCTGATGCTGGTACCGGGCCGCGGCGTCAAAAAGGTTGGGGATCACTGATATAGATGATAGATAAATTATATAGAGAGATGACAGATAGATAAATAGATAAATAGATTGATAGATGATAAAGATTGATAGATGATATAGATAGACAGACAGACAAACAAACAAACAGATGATGGCTAGATAGATGATAGATGATATAGATAATGATAGATAATAGATAGATAGATAGATAGATAGATAGATAGATAGATAGATAGATAGATA